TTCATCATCATATATTTTCTTTCAATAAAACCTATTCGTCTTCTTATATCACTTGTTTATATTTGCTGTTATGCTGTTTATGCTTTCGAGGGATTTCCTGATTTCCTTTTTTCCTAAATAATAAGTGCACAGAGCTTACTTTAAAACTGCACGCCTCCAGATGAGCAAAAATATTTCTATGAAATCAAACCTGAGACAAATGTACTAAGATTTTAGGAAAGGTATAAAGATTCAAAATTCTAGTAAAAATTCCATGTTATGTTTAATTAATGACCGAATTTTTCATTATTTATAACTATATTTCTACCGCGTTACTCACGCAGTAAGGGCTATTTTTGCATATTTTGACCTTTTTATAGTAATTTATATAAGTTGTAAGTGCCATTGATAATGTGTAAATTGCATTCTTTTGCTAACTTTACAATATTATACTGTTAAATACATTTTTAAATTTGCATGAAATTAAGCATGAATCTGGAGGCGTGCTACTTTAAGAGGTGCAGACAGCGGACAAGTATGAATATCAGTTCCAAGTATCAAGAGGATTTGCTATCATGCCATCAGTCTGACACTTACATAGGTTAAAAGCCAAGCATCACCAATATATGCCATACCAATATACACTGTTTTCATACCAGAAGGTTCGAATTAGAGAAAGTTTTCTTTTGTTTCGTCGCTCATTACGTAACTTGAAATCTTTGAAATAGTTATATAGGAAAGTGATGTCTAGAAAATGCACATATAATAAATTGCAAGGGCATATGTTGATATTTGCACATACGTTAATAAGTAGAGGAGATGAAGGAGGTATTAAAGAAGTGTTAGCATATGTTTGTACCAGAATCCTTTTAATCATGCTTATGCACACGCGTTAAAATAATCAGGCTTGGATAGCAAAATTACAATTGTAATTATATAAACTTAAAAAAAAAGGATCGAAGGGACGTGTAGGTAATTCAATGAATCGGATAAATTACGCAAATCCTAAACTGTAAATCACATATATCAACCATACTCTTCGACCATATTATCATTCAACGACCATATTATCATTCAACCATACCCTTTGACCATATTATCATTCAACCATACCCTTTGACCATATTATCAGTCAACCATACCCTTTGACCATATTATCAGTCAACTATACCCTTTGACCATATTATCAGTCAACCATACCCTTCGACCATATTATCATTCCACCATACTCCTCGGCTATATTAACAATCAACAATACCTTTCGACCATATTATCACTTCGACCATATTTTCAGTTAAAAATTAACACATATTACAATTTAGACAATTGTATATTCAATACTTTACTACGAATATGCAGAAAAGCGAAGACATATATATGACCTACTGTGGTACACCGATTAACGTCTAAAAGTGTAAAAAAAAGAAGTGGGAGACAAAAATAAACGTTACATGACTGTCACTATCGTTACATTCCGTGCAAAGAGTTATGAACTTTGCAATAAAAATACTACCAGTATAAGCGGAACGAAACAATTACATAATGTCTAGTGATGGAAACGATCTTCTTGGTATGTTCTAAGAAAAAGGATCGACATTCGTGATTTAGTCTCTGCCAGCCAAGTTCTACATCATTAACTACATAACATAACTAATCAGCCTCGAATCATCTCTGTACATTACCAGAAACATCTTGGAAACCGTATACATTCCCGTCAATTATATATAATTAAATTCGCCAGATAAGAAACTGTATCAGACGATATTTTTAATTAAGTGGTATAAATAAACCATTTAATAGTGGCAATCTTAAATAAATGGATTCGAATTAGATTAACCAAGACATATCAATGCGGGAATAAATCTTCTGTATCGTCCGGTAGCAGTTATTTCTGAAGTCCAATTACATCAGATATGCCGGCTCATAAACCGTATAAAGGTCAAGGTTATGTTTGTAAGGTAGCGAGAATCAATTTTCATGCAACAAAGATATTCATTCACGTTATCCAATAATACTTTTACAGTCCTGATTGAAAGGTTACAAAAACTGCAAGTTACTTACATAATTATTAATGGAACTCCGTTGAGGTCTATAGCCTAAAATCATAATTTCAAAAACAACTTTCATAATTCAATTAAAAAAATATATCCAATAGTTTATATATAAATATACTGGGTTTTAAATCAAATCTCGTTTATTGGAGATTCTTTTTAGGGTCAATTTGCGCAATAAAAGTGATTATTCCTAGGAAACGGAGTAAGCGAATGATCTGCAATTTTGTACACGAGTTCTTGGTCAAGACCTACACCCAGATAAACAAATCATTTTAAAAAAATCTCCAGTGGAGCTTCTTTAATGTATACGAGATAAATAAGAAATAAAAACAATACGAAGATTTATATCTCATACAGCCACGGGAATATTCTTCAGCAATGACAAAAGTTTTTCTCTTCTAGGTAAACGTAAACAATTGATGTGTTTAATTAGATAATGCATATCAAAAGCAGAATGCCTCCAGATTCATGCTTATTTTCATGAAAAGTTCGAAAATGTATGATAAATACATTAACGTTTGAATATCGCGATAAATACTGCAAAATTAGTCAATAATCGCACATAACATTTTATATTATTCCTTGAATCGTTTTCTTAAATCTTAGTTTACTTTTCTCAAATTTGATTTTTAATATTTTAGCTCATCTGGAGGCATGCAGCTAAAAGGAAATGCAAATGCTACAATACTACATGAATCACTATGTATGCGTTTCTATCTAAAAAGCTTCTTTCTAGCTTCTTGGTGGACATTATCTGAGAAATTTGAGGATGCGTGAATCGAAAATGAGTGAAGACTCACTGATGATGACATTGACATAATTTACGTGTTCAGCATGAGACAATTATCCCCATTGATAGAGATTTTATCGGTTAAAATTACATACAGGTCACAGAGACCTCCACATATTAAACAAGATAGTTCGTAAAACACAAAAGATGTAAATTTTTACTTTTGTAATTAATAACAAGCTTTTTTGGGGTAAGTTTTTTTTAAAAGAGGCCAATTTCTAACATGTATGAATAAAGGAAGTTAGTACCGACAAAGAAAAATATGATTGATTGAATGATTGACTGATTCATTGATTGATTGAAATTGTGTTGATATTCTAAACCTGAAATGAATGAATAGGTCTTTTTAGCTTTCATAGATAATATTACTTTCGGGAAGAAAACAGACAAATTTCATTGATTTTGTAATTTTTGCGACTAAAGTTTGATTGAACTGGTACTTGCGTATCTGTATTCATATATTTAACATGTAAAATTTAAATTTTATACAAATCCGTTCTATTTAAAGAATGTATGAAAAGAGATAGGCAGTGCAATTTTAGAATATTGCATACATCGACGTTTCTATTTATAGCTATTCATTCGTACCCCTGCTGCGGAATAGTATATCATACTCGGATTAACCGGTCAAATTGTTACAAAATTCTTCCTTATTAACGACAGACACAGTTAGTACCAAATGTGTTCTTTTTTCTTCAATCTTTTCATTGGGGTGAAATATTTAATCCGCGAAGTACCATATTGTCATGTCTCGGCATTCGGAAATTAATGATGGCAAATCGTATGATTTGTTAACATTCATTCAAACGTATTTTGTTCTCAACTTCATATTACAAGATAGTTCAAAACGAAATGTTAACACTTTATATCCCCCAAAGATTTATTTTGAAATATATATGGCTCACTTATATAAATAGCTATCGGTGATATATAGAAGAATACAAATATAGTGTTTATTTAAATATATTTTGATTTAGGTTTCATTACAGGAATATAGACTGACAAAAATTGTACCCTTTTAAAAATATATTGATTAAGGAGATTAATTGTAGACAAAAGGCAATAATTCTTGATATTATTATCATTAAAAGTATGCAATTCTGTATCACGTATATCTCAAATTTTGATTTTTTTCTGATCAGATTCAAGTCCTTATTGTAAAACGATCAAAATGTATAATAATTTTATAGAGAAATTAGCATTTCAAGTGAATGAATTGCTTTGCAATCTTTATTATCCTATTATTAAGAGTATGCAGAATAATATGAATTCTTTATTACACATATCTCAAATTAGCATTTCGAGTAGATGTATTGCTTTGAGAACAATGTACACAAAATGATACGCTAATTATCATAGGAATAAAATGAATTACAAATATTATGTACTATTCGGGATATCAACTGCTTTTTTTCTAGACAACAATGATTTCAACATTTTATTCAATAGTTATGCAAAATGTACCCCACAATTATGATATCTCCAGATTATTTTTCGGAGAACATTATCTTAATGGTATATCTTATCACCCTAGATTGTTTTGCACCCCAAATTTTTACCCTGGAGCCTTGTTTTTTTTTTTTTGTTAGAAAAAAAAACCTCATCAAATTCTTCAAAATATTTACAGCGTATTTTTTAAAGCATTCATTATGCTTTTAAGATTGAATCTAAACGAGAAAATGGGGCTTGCGAATTTTTTAACCATATATTTCTATATTTAGAAAATTACTTAATACACTTAATTCAATCCATTGTAACAGAACAGACGTGTTATTACTTGGTTTAAGTGTAACATGCTCATCGCCATAATTATTACATTCATTATACATGAATAACACATGACACGAGCATGGCACGAGCATGTATAATGAAAAAAAACTCAATTACTCAAATATTTATATTAATTTTATATCGAGTTTGTTTTGACGACACTGTTATATTATTTATTCCATTTTCTATATAACATATAATTAATTAGCTATTTTGCTACACTTGGAATATAAAAATGTCCTCTAAATCAAATTGTCCACGGCTAAGATAAAGCAAAGACGTACTATAACCATGATTATTGATTCCAACATAATATTTGCTGGCAAAAAAATACCATAGAATATTAGGCCTACAATATTTATACAAGATAATAAAATAACAAATCGTTAATCAATGCATGCACTTACCAGTTATATTCCGTAATCACATCCGAAACCACACGCAACTATAATTCCGTGCCTAGAAAAAACAACAAACACTGTATCTGTCAAAGTAAAACAAGGTCAACTAATTAATTTATGTCCTTTCCGATGCCAGAACTTTTTTTCAAAAATAAAAAGATGTTTCTGTTTTACCATGCAACACAGGTATGTTCGTTTGAAGCACTTCCAATCATCGAGTTATACCACAGGTGGGCCCTTGAATAAATTGGTCGATTCACTCACAGAAAATAAATCCCCTAATTATAACATAAAATTTAATAAAAACACACAAATATCCATCCGAACAACGCTATTTCCAAATCGTAATATTTTCGCATAATCCGTTATGTTAACAAATTAAAATACTGTGTGAATTGCTCCCTTAAAACAAAGAAAAAAATGTATTGTAATATAAAGCAAGACGCTATTATAATGCAGCCGAGGGTATCTGTTTCAGAGACGATATTTTTAGATTATACACCTCGGATAATACACAAATTAGCAGCACACATTTGCAAGGCTACTCCAATGGATTAAAGGTGAACTGTTATGATATTAAAAAGTATGTTTTATGTCAAAGATTCTGAATGATTCTTGAATGTTTTGAAATATGTTAAAATACCGGACAAATTTTATGATTAAGAATGTTTTACAGTTTTGTTGAGGCAAAAGACAATAGTGTTTTTAAATTACCGTAATATCCTATTTAATTATAAATTCCGAAATGTTTATTTTTTTATATTTTTTTAAACATTGTATCGTTACACTATTATGAACTTTGGGATGTTATATTGAATGAAACTCTTTTTTTTTCAATTAATGTTATATTCTGTATGTAAAACAATTTTATAACGAATCGCCGAGGCGCAGTTATTGATTGTGCAAATGACTTTAAATGCAATACAGAGGAAATATCAAAAGACACTAATTAATCCATTAATTACCGCTATATCAAAGATGGAAAACGATTGAAATTCGGTACAATTATTTATAAAATTCCAAGATGCAAAGCTTTTTTTGCATTTCTGGCACCCCTCAGAGCAATCACCTGCCATCCGGAAAGACTTTAATTTAAAAAGAAAACATGTTAATGTATTGTTTTAAATGAGGTGTGGCGTAGGTAGACATCAAAGTAACAGACCAATGCTTAACTTAAAATTTGGAAACAGTTTGATTTATTTCAGTGCAGAGCGGAAACATAAAAATAGATGATTTTTGTTGAATACTTCTTTTAAAACAAAAAAAGGTATATGACTGAACTGTAGAAATCAGTTGATTTAAACAGAGATATGTCTGTTATTCATTACGTATGGTGGAAATATGCAAATTGAGCATATGTTCCGACTGCACCTTCGAACAACAACAACATAAATAAACGATGGTGTAAAGCAGAAACATACATGTATTTATATTCCTGAATGAAACACCGGGGGAAGATAACTTCTGAGAAGGTTTTTAGGGGAATATCTCAAATTTAGGTTTCATAAGACTGTTTATTAAAAACATTGAGCTGATCATGATATTTCAATCTAAATTTACCTGAAGTCAATTACCCGAAGCTCCTTTGAAAAGTTTGCGATAAACGAATTCGTGTAAACCATACCAGCGAGTTACATATCATTTGCCAGATCAAAATATTTGTCCAGTTTATTATTACAGCCGACAAGCTTTCGGTAATGTTCATATCATCAATTTATAAAAACATGCGTCCATGTGATAATGATTGGCATGAGCGAAATGACCTCTTAAGAAAAATAAGGGATAATTACACTGGTAAAGTTACTGAGGTTTTAAACAAAAATACTGTTTGATTAACTATCGAAATACTAGCTAAAATGTATATACATTTGCTTCAGCATAAAAATTAAATTATATTAACGTTTAAAAAGTGGTGTAGTTTCAAATGTTTCAACGTATTTCTTCCTTGTTTCTTTCATTTGTTTGTTTATTTTAAATGACACATCTTCTAAATAACCATGGCTTAGAAATCTTGAAATCTAAAAAACAAACGCGTGGGATATTGTATGAAAGTTGTATGATATACTGTGATGTAGATAAACTATGAAAATGAAGGGATTATTTTATCATGTACTCATTCTGTATAATAAAGTTTTGTTTGTTTGAAAATATATGTTTAACTTTTAAAGTCTGATGAAGGCTGTCAAGAATGTTAATATGATATTCACATTTTTGTTGGTGTTTTTTTGTTGTTGTTGTTGTTGTTGAAAAACAACAGTGGCATAGATTTTTTAAAATACGATTATTTTAGTATTTTCTATCTTTTTTTCACAAATTTATCATCCTCCATTATTTAAAAGGGTTAAACCCCTCTTTTTAAACTCAATGATAAAGAGGGATTTAACCCCTCGAGACGTTGGTGAATGATAAAAGTGTTAACAGATTGTTAACGATTTTTTTTAAACAAATTTAAAAGCAACAATACATTTATAAACCTACGGATAAAAATGTCGGTTTTTTGGACGAAAAAAGTGGCCGCGCTACCCCTTTAATTTTAACAGTTTAATTAAAAGATATCAAATGTTTTATGATCTAAAATTATCACAGTATTGATTTTTATTACTGTAAAGTATTCCCTATTTATCTTTAAAGTCAATGTATTCTGCTTGCTATAAGCAATAATCTGTCGCCATGATCAGCTATAACAATCGCATTTCAATACACAGGCTGTCATAAATGTCGCGGATGAATACAATAAAGATAATACGTTTTGATTCCTTTATTATTTGGAGGTATTATTTGGTAGCACACACAAATTACATGCATTAAACATGGCACAAACCATGGATCAACATGAAGTCTTCTCAAATGTGCAGGTTGTAGAAAATGCCAAATAATTATAACGTTTGCGTGTACATTTTTGTTTTTGTGTATTTTAAAAAAGAAGAAGAAACATTTATAAAGATATATAATGTTTATAGGAATGAGAATACTTTAATTTATGCTTGCGATATAACATGAACTTTTACTTACCTAAAATCATCTGTTGAAAAGTAAAGTATTATAATACGGAAAAATGAAATGTTCATTTTATTTATTTTATAAGTTTATCAACACAGTTGGATAATTAAGGAATTTGAAGCTGAAAATACACCGCCTAACGACTAGTAGCTTAAGTGTAAATAAATTTTAATACATAATTCTTTTTCCGTCGCGTGCGTCTAAAAATAGATTTACATAACGAAATCACATTGACTTTGGCTAAAAATAGATTTTTTAATATTTGTAACGGAATTTATTTTTGAATAGCAGGTTCATACTATACTTTCCATCACTGCAAAATTGTGAGATAAATTTAGCTTAAATTTATACCGTTAATTTTGCTAATTATTGTTTGTGCTTGAATATGTTAGATATGATTAAACTAATATCATATACCTTTAAGTGTGATACCACATGATATCGTATATCATTTATGAAGGCTTTTATTTGATTGGCTTATTGGCGTTAAAGTTTGATGTTGTTGTTTTTTTTTTGTTGTTTTTTTTTTGTTATTTTTTGTTCCTTGTTTTGCTTTGTTGTGTGATTGTTCGTTTTTTTCTGTATTTATTTATTTATTTATTATCATTTTCAGAAGCGAGTCTGATCTCACCATAAATATAAAATATAAAAAAAATGTCTTACTGATAAGTGATAACACTAGGAATAACACACACTTTCGTTATTGGTATACCATATAGAATTATAGAAACTTTCTTTTTAGGACATAAGATAAGTAATATCATCTGAAGACTATAATATAGTTTTTTTCGAACCTGACAGAAGTACTGTATTGTCCTCAGCATGTTTCGGTAAACAAAATCGTTTGCGGGTTAATATATCTTAATATTGATATTGAAAGAGATATTTTTGGTACTTATATACTTAATTATGTTTAATAATCACATTCGGTTAAGTTTGATACGCAAAAATGTCATTGCAATTATAACAAAAACTCCGGTGATTAAATAGTAGTAGCTAGACGTCAAAACAAACAACAACAAAAAAAGCAAAAAACAAATCAATCATACATTTGGAAAAAAAAAGATAATCAACGGCAAATATAATATTTTACGCTACTATCTCACATATTCAGAGGGACGTAGTTCTCTTTATCTCTGCAAGGTACCCAATAATATTTCAAAGGAAATGTGTAAATAATTCCCAGTAATGAAAGTAATAACCTGTAAAGTTTGACCCAATTAACCTCAAATATACCTTTACCATCTTTTCGCTGCCAATATTTTTTTTCGGCAAAAAATTACTTCATTTATTACGAAGAAGCTCAGACGAGTTATTACAAAAGTCTTGAGGTAAAAGTCTGCAAGTAATAACAAAAATATTTATATATCCAATAATCGCTGGGAACTGCTTCTCTTATCCGTACGTATCATAAATCACATGTTTGGAAGATATAAACAATTCTTGATTGGGTGAAGATAGATCTATGATTCAATAATTTGCAGGGTTATTTTCTGTTTCTCCAGACATATCCAGTTAGAAGTCTTCATAGATAAGTCTACAGAGAGTTTTAGTTATGATATAGCCGTTAGCTAAATATGCAGAGCGTTGGACTAAGAATTGGACGATCAGGAAATCCTTTTTACGGTCATTTAAAAGTACGTCTGCACTGGCATGTACAGAAGCTATTAGTTCCTTGCCAGAGTGAAAGTAACTAGTACTGATAAACTGATTGACTGGCCGCCACGGAACGATGCGGTGGCTGAACTGAACCTTATAATCCGGTTTCCCATGTTTTACGAAACAGGATTCGTTCTATGTCAAATAAATTCTTAAAGTAGTTGTCAAATCATACAACCTAATTTGATTTAAATGGGGAATTTACAATCAAGCGGCTCAACGGATGCATCTCATGAAGTCAAAGCATGTATATAATTAATCAAGATAATGTTTGGAAATGTAGTTCATTAATTCACTTTGCAAGTCATTAAAAGACGCAATGATTTTCTCTTGTCTGGTTAGAAATGTCGTAAAAAGCGGAATTCAATTTAGATATTTTTTTATCTAGATTAAGTGTTCACATTAAGCAATGGTTTATTTAAAGTCACCTTGTGCCTTAGAAAAAAATAATATTTCATTCTTAAAAAAAAGCAAACATGAGTTTTGAAACAATTAGCAAATGATTTAAGAGCCTGTTAAAGGTTTATCATCTGAGGACACAGTAAACACAGTAAAGCTGGAACGTCGCCAAATGACATATACTGTGTCGGTGTGTCAAACAAGTTAACACCATCTGAGATTATAAGCGCTGAATGTGAAATTATTTGTCATAAAATATCAAAATGTAAACAAAGTAGTATTTTGACGTCCATATAAAATACTGAATAAAATTATTTTCATTAATTTCTAAACAAAAAGAAAAAAAGGAGCAAGATGGTTCAGGTGTAGAACAAATGAGTAATTTCTGGGAAGCTATAATGGTACAACAAATATTAAAA